ATTACAGTGGCCGATGTGTGAAGCTGACTTGACTAATCAGCTCCATGTAGTCCCGGCGTCTACACTGTCTAGTCCATTTAAGTTTCCCAAACAAAACTTTGTATGGAATTATAATTTATCCCATATGTGTTACATACGTGCTTATCTTATGCGTCTTCATGCAGTCACTAAAATAATTACAGAAGAAGATGAAATACAACGAAAAATGGAACTGAATATTTTGTGATTTTCACCAAACATTATAAGAGAGATCAAAATCAGGGAGGACTAGAAGGGTGGGGCACGTAGTACACGTGGGAGAGATAAGAAATGGATACATTTTGGTCGGATACCTAGGCGTGGTTGGGAGGATAACATTAAGATGAATGTAAAATTAACAGATTAGGAAGATGTGGGCTAGATTTATCTGGCTCAAGATATGGGCAATATGAGGGCTATTAGTTTGAAGTTTCGGGTTTTAAGAAGTGTTGTCAGGAAGAATTTTGTATGGAGTTCATTGCTCAACTTTCTAGATTCTGTAATTATTGTTAGGGATCTGTGTGATTAATTCTCAGCCATCTTCAATCGGCGTTCTTTGTGCAGAGTGAGGCCAATTTTCATGCACAAATCTTTGATTCCTAAAACGTAAAACAGTAGGGACTTCAGGGCCACATGCTACCTCAGGTCACGCGTCGTGAGGAGATATGTGTGGCACACATACGAACAGAGGGTGGGGGACACCATATTTTATCTCATATTGGGAACAGTCATAGTGACAGTCGCTCATAGGCAGTCAATCGGAGATAGTCGACTGAGTGCCTGCGTTTGTCCGTTGCTTGTTCGCCTGCTACACGCATGCGTACAAAGTTCTTGTGTCGGTCAGCTTCGCCAGTAAGAACTACTATGAATTTGTGACGTGTGGTGGGCCTATAACATTACATACTTAATGAAATGTTTAAAAAGTTAAATATAAGTGTATAATTTTATTTTGACGTTAAAACGTAATCAGAACGAGAAGAAAAGAAGTGAAATGTTTGGTCATAATTAAGAAGTTCAGGGAACAATTTCATTTTTTAAGTTAATATTTACGAAACACAAATTTGATTTTTTTTTTTCAAAATTAACCTAGCAAATCAACAGAAATGTATTATTATTTTAGTTATTTATATTTTAGTACATTAAAACAGAAGAACAAAATCAATTTAGCTTACGTTTGTAGCCAACTAAAACCATTAGTTGTAATAGTTCTGATGTCGTGTAATTAATTTAACGTCACTTAATGTAATTAAAACTTATTACAGGATCGTCAAAAGACCTTGACAGTTGCAACAGTTTGATTATTTATTTGTATGTCATTAACGACGAATACATTCACGGAAGACGGGTCAAATCTGTGTGGTGTCTGTGTGTGCTATTAATTGACTATTGAATGGTTTCTGTGAATTCCAATTAGAGAAGAAATCAGCACACCGTAAGTATAATTCTTCCAGTTTTGAACTAACTTCATAATGCATGGTCTTCATTGAAAGTTGATAGTTTGCTCTGCATTTATGGATTTCGAAACGTCTGACCCTACACCAAGTCAGTTACACACAATCAACTTACTCAGGATCTATTTATCTTAAATCGGCTTCAATATTATTTTTTCACCTATGTCTAGGTCTCCATAATGTTCTCTTTCCTTGATGTGCCACATTCCGTCTACAGCTTTAAAATATAATTTTCTTATAACTGACGTGCGTACTATAATAGTACCTGCCCATATATTTTTTCTTTATTTAATTACTCAGCTAATAGTAAATTTAAACTGATTTTGAACCTCCTCGTTGTGTAAAGTTTTCTGTTCTATTGTTCGTTTTTCTTTGGTCAAAATATTCACCTCAGAAATATGTTCAAATCGTGACATAATATCTGTGACAACAGATATTCCCACGTGCATCCCACGAGCTGAATGTCCATCTCTAATCGGCACAAGCACTTATCCAAAAGTTAAGAAAACATTACTTGACCTTCCATTCTCTAACAAGTTATGGAGCCTATTACGAGTATAAAGGCACAGCGTAAATAGTAAAACGAAAACATGCAAGTGATAATTAAAATATTTTGATAAGTTAGCACTTTGGGACTAGGCCTTGACTCTTGAGCTCAATATATTAAAATATCTGTGTGCTTGATAATATGTTTGTTTTAAACATACTAATCGACTATCTATATATAGATGGTATTAACTCTTTAAAAGTCCAGTGATAATTGTTTTTGCCAGCTGCATCAACAGTCATGCATTCTGCCCACAGTGTATTTGTTAATTTCGTATTGTTCTAAAAACGAACAGAGTTTATTTTCATAAACAGCGTTAACCAGTTGATCTCTGCAAAACAGAAGTGTAGTGTTTTCATTGTGGTGCTAATAAAATTTGTAGATATTATTAAATCAGCTTCTGGATTCTAAGTGTTAATATCCTGAGGGTTAAAAAATATATGTTCACTCCTGTCGTATACGAAAATAAGGCAATTCATATTACCACTCTTGTAACTAAGCAATTTCATCGCACTGATGATGGAGGCAGCAAGTACCTCTGAAACGTTGCTAAATTTATACCACACTAAACGGTGCTGCAACCCAGAAGATGGTCACCCAGACAACTTCCTGCAGGCGGTAACCCCTAGATTTGTATTCAAGAAGTAATTCTAAAAGGTTTTCCTCAAACGAACACCGATAAGGCATCTCTAAATAGTCCACGACTTACATACTTTCCATAATCATCTTTCGAATTCGTTTCTATGCGAATATCATAATTAAAATACCGTCTTTATGCACTCTGCATATATCATTAATCATCAGCTAGTCCTGGTGTTATAAAACACCAGGTTAGGTTCTGAAGGGAAACCATCGTGCCTGGATCTCCGTCAGTCTGTCGAAAAGAACACATTCATCTTTATATAAAGCGCGTGACTGAGAAAGAGAACAAAGCACGGTCAAATAGAGCGTAGGGCGCTGATATTGTTTTTGTTGCAGTGTTTTTGTTGTAAGCTGTATTAGACCAGAGCAATAAAAAGAAAACAAACAGAATCAAGAGAAAAGAGAAAATCGCTAGACATAGAAACGAAGGAAGTCGATCTTATTAAGTAATTTTAGAGTCCTAACACCAAATTACTATCTTCTTAGCTTGAATTAGTTTAGGAAAAATGATTATGAATCAAGAGCTAAAAATGATCAGAAGTGAAACAATCGTGGTCTGGAGAAACTGAGAAAAACCACAAGTAACTCAGAATATTCGACCACAGACCGAAAATAAAACTCGCAACGTCTCGAATAACAAGCGGAAGTGGTTAACCAACCGCAACGGTAGGTCCAAATTAATTCCTATTTCATATATATTAAACTAAGCAAGTTAATTTCAGACTGCTCCTTATATGCATCGTCTCGAAGAGAGGTTTAAGACTATTGGTTAACCATTTGAAGCAGAAGCTCGTCTGAATATTTAAAAGTTCAGTTCTAACCTCAAAGAAAACACATTTCACCAATACAAAAATCACTTAGTTAATTCTGTTTCAAGAAATAATCCTTGTTTACTTCGTGAATAACACGAAACTCATAAATATTAATATATTCTGCGGGATAATGCAGAGCTAGTGATTGTTAAATCAAGTGGTGCAGATAATTACCACTGGGTTTAAGGGGTTTGAATAAAATATCGGGTTTTACCTGGAGGGTGTGCAAGAATCGAAAGGAATCCTCAGTCAGGGTACATGATGTCTAGGTCGAAACAAGAACATTCAAGATTGTTAATCGCTACACAGAGGCTGTTCTCAGCTAATAGTAAATTTAAACTGATTTTGAACCTCCTCGTTGTGTAAAGTTTTCTGTTCTATTGTTCGTTTTTCTTTGGTCAAAATATTCACCTCAGAAATATGTTCAAATCGTGACATAATATCTGTGACAACAGATATTCCCACGTGCATCCCACGAGCTGAATGTCCATCTCTAATCGGCACAAGCACTTATCCAAAAGTTAAGAAAACATTACTTGACCTTCCATTCTCTAACAAGTTATGGAGCCTATTACGAGTATAAAGGCACAGCGTAAATAGTAAAACGAAAACATGCAAGTGATAATTAAAATATTTTGATAAGTTAGCACTTTGGGACTAGGCCTTGACTCTTGAGCTCAATATATTAAAATATCTGTGTGCTTGATAATATGTTTGTTTTAAACATACTAATCGACTATCTATATATAGATGGTATTAACTCTTTAAAAGTCCAGTGATAATTGTTTTTGCCAGCTGCATCAACAGTCATGCATTCTGCCCACAGTGTATTTGTTAATTTCGTATTGTTCTAAAAACGAACAGAGTTTATTTTCATAAACAGCGTTAACCAGTTGATCTCTGCAAAACAGAAGTGTAGTGTTTTCATTGTGGTGCTAATAAAATTTGTAGATATTATTAAATCAGCTTCTGGATTCTAAGTGTTAATATCCTGAGGGTTAAAAAATATATGTTCACTCCTGTCGTATACGAAAATAAGGCAATTCATATTACCACTCTTGTAACTAAGCAATTTCATCGCACTGATGATGGAGGCAGCAAGTACCTCTGAAACGTTGCTAAATTTATACCACACTAAACGGTGCTGCAACCCAGAAGATGGTCACCCAGACAACTTCCTGCAGGCGGTAACCCCTAGATTTGTATTCAAGAAGTAATTCTAAAAGGTTTTCCTCAAACGAACACCGATAAGGCATCTCTAAATAGTCCACGACTTACATACTTTCCATAATCATCTTTCGAATTCGTTTCTATGCGAATATCATAATTAAAATACCGTCTTTATGCACTCTGCATATATCATTAATCATCAGCTAGTCCTGGTGTTATAAAACACCAGGTTAGGTTCTGAAGGGAAACCATCGTGCCTGGATCTCCGTCAGTCTGTCGAAAAGAACACATTCATCTTTATATAAAGCGCGTGACTGAGAAAGAGAACAAAGCACGGTCAAATAGAGCGTAGGGCGCTGATATTGTTTTTGTTGCAGTGTTTTTGTTGTAAGCTGTATTAGACCAGAGCAATAAAAAGAAAACAAACAGAATCAAGAGAAAAGAGAAAATCGCTAGACATAGAAACGAAGGAAGTCGATCTTATTAAGTAATTTTAGAGTCCTAACACCAAATTACTATCTTCTTAGCTTGAATTAGTTTAGGAAAAATGATTATGAATCAAGAGCTAAAAATGATCAGAAGTGAAACAATCGTGGTCTGGAGAAACTGAGAAAAACCACAAGTAACTCAGAATATTCGACCACAGACCGAAAATAAAACTCGCAACGTCTCGAATAACAAGCGGAAGTGGTTAACCAACCGCAACGGTAGGTCCAAATTAATTCCTATTTCATATATATTAAACTAAGCAAGTTAATTTCAGACTGCTCCTTATATGCATCGTCTCGAAGAGAGGTTTAAGACTATTGGTTAACCATTTGAAGCAGAAGCTCGTCTGAATATTTAAAAGTTCAGTTCTAACCTCAAAGAAAACACATTTCACCAATACAAAAATCACTTAGTTAATTCTGTTTCAAGAAATAATCCTTGTTTACTTCGTGAATAACACGAAACTCATAAATATTAATATATTCTGCGGGATAATGCAGAGCTAGTGATTGTTAAATCAAGTGGTGCAGATAATTACCACTGGGTTTAAGGGGTTTGAATAAAATATCGGGTTTTACCTGGAGGGTGTGCAAGAATCGAAAGGAATCCTCAGTCAGGGTACCTGATGTCTAGGTCGAAACAAGAACATTCAAGATTGTTAATCGCTACACAGAGGCTGTTACTAGAACATTTGGAAAAGAAAAGAGAGAAAAAAAAATATATATATATAAACGCATCTACATATTACACGTTCATTTCAAGCAGCATGCAAGAAACTTATAAAGCATTGTAAGATAATATTTATAACAGTTCATGAGGAAAACACTATGTATATTTCCTTTATAAATCGTAAGCTGACCTTTTCAGATATTGAACGTAAAACATTAAATATTTATCTAATAAATGTGTTTAAATGAAATGCTCTTACGTGTGCACTTTGCAATCTTCGTTAAACATTCGTCGACTGACAATGGATTAGATAAATATTTCTCTCAGATAAAACCAACTTTGTACAGCGTAATGATGATGATTTTCAAGGTCTTCAAAGGCTGTGTACGAATCCCAAAAAATGAATGTATTTATTGCTAATGATTTACGAACAGTTGTTATACAGCGGGAAAGCATATCATTGCATAGTAATTACCACAATTAACATAACAGGATATTAACTCCGCACGGGGTTGTGATAACTATGTTTACTATCTGCTGTAACGTTTAGCAACTAAGTATTTCAGGCATTCAGACTACAATACTTCTGTGTTGTTGCGACGTGTTCTCTGGTGGTAGAAATTTACCGACGTCTAACAAGTGCTTGAAGCTA